CACCCTGGAGAGGCAGGAAGAAGAGTTTGCTCAACAAAAGTTCTTTCCAATCTTTCTGCCTTCTGCTTAGACTGTGCTTTTTAAAGCCCAGGAACTTACTCTCTCTGTTCCCTGGTTCCTCTCTGCCACCACATCTTGGGCCATGCTCCCCTCACACTCTACTGCTGGACTAGGGGAGGCTCCTGGGGTCAAAAGTAAGTGTGGGAAATAGTAACAGCAGTAAATGCTCCACAGAGCGTCTTTCCACGTGTATTATATAGCCGTTTCTAGGAATTTCAATTTCAAAAATCCTGTGGTTACATTTTATATTCTAAAAAAAATAACTAAAGAGATAGCAGTTTTGAAACTGGAAGAACCCTAACCCTCAAACACGCCAAAAATATTAAGCCTGGCTAGGATGTGAGGCATGTTACATAAATGAGATTCAGTCAGAAGTCAAGAGTGAAGGACTTCAAAGCATCCTTGCTTCTGTGGCCTTTAAACAGTTTGTTTCAGAAGTTTCAAATGAGAGGGAGTTTACTGCCTGATCACCCAGAAGGTGAAAGGAGCCGATGCTTTGACTCAGCGTCCTGCCATCCTGTGGGAAATTCCAGGAGGGGTCGGGGACAGAGGGGGAACTGGGCCCAGACTGTGGAGTCCCTTTCTAACAACTTCTACCAGACTGATTGCGGAACGTTCTGTTGGTCTATGTGGGAACTATCCCACCCTATGCCCCAGCCTGCCAGCCTTCATCTTCTCTGTCGCTTCCCTCTCTCTTTTGATGGGATATCATTCTCTTAATCACTGAGCCCCAAGCTTCTGCAATCCTCGGCCCCAGCTTCCCACACACAGATAGTTTCCACACGCTGTAGACAGTGTGTATCACCTCAGCCCTCTTTGTTTTTTGTTTTTTTTCCCATTTTCACCATGCTCCCATTTCAGATGAAGAAACCAAGGCCCAAAGAAGTTGTGGCTTGACTAGAACCATGTTCCTGGTACCAGGCAGAGCAAGAAACTTTAAGCCAGGCCTTCTCACTTTAGTTCTAGGCTTCTTGTCATGAGGTCCCCTTTCATGAAATAACAGTCACCCTTGTGCCTTCTCACTACGTGTGGCCCCCGGCTACCTCTTTAGCTGTGCACATACCAAACCTTTTTATTGTTCTGCTCACCAGCTAAACCGGACGCTTTGCTGTTCTTCAGATGTGGCCCTTGCTTAGCTGACTCTTCCCTTTGCTGGAACTGTTCCTTCTATTAATACTAGGAAGCCACCACTCCAATACACCTTCCTTCACACCTAGTCTAGGTCCTGCACCTATTGAAGGCCTCCTAATTCTCCATGGTTTGCTCAAATGTGACCTTTGTATCCATCTTTATCCCCTATCCATGGTTCTCTGGGGGAACCTCCCATGAAACCTCTATCAGTGCAAAATCCTTCATCTAACCAGGGACACAGGGATTGATTGCTGAACATTTGTAGATTTGGAAATACAATTAAGGTACTTTATTTCATTGTTACAAAAGTAAAGGAAAGAGGTAAGAGTGAATTTGTCTTTTGACAGGACAGTTGGTCCAATATAGAGAAGCTCGCGTGTTTTGGCCTTATTCATCAAAAAAATATATTTTTACTTCTTTATAGACTGCCTCCCACCCCTCTAACCTTTCTTGTCTCCAGTTGTCAAAAAATTCCTGATTCTTAACAGAGAGAATTCAGAAAACTAGTAAGTTGTTATGATATCTCGGTCAACTGGGAGAATACAGTATATTCTATTTTTCGTTCAATTTGTAGTAATTGACAGCTTCAGGGTGTATACTGTAAATTGTAGTTTCCATAGACTGGACATATAGTGTAAATCAAGTCTGGAAGCACCAGGAATGTGCAACTAAGTTGGCTGTTTTATTATTGTGCTATGAGACAATAGAATATAGTGTACTGTGCAGATTCCAAAGACCTAATGCTTGCGGTTTGTTACATGTATGTGCTTTCCAGAAATATTTATTAGCCCATTAAATGCTCAAAGGGATAGGTAGAACATCTTGTTAAAAGTAGCAACCCTTTCAAGAAAGGAAATAGTATTTCAGGCTGGCAAGGAGTGTAGGTATTATTTTGTATTTGCAGCAACCAGAGGGATTGTCCATCACCACACAGCCTCCTAGGGATGGGTTTAAGAGGAAAACTGGGAGCCCTTTAACTCTTATATAGACTGAGTCAGTGTAGTATTGTTTTAGGGCCCACCTGGTTTCATATCCCAGCACTTACTTGCTCTGTCATTTTGGTTGGGCATTTTCTTTAATCTCCCTAAGGCTCACTGTCTCAATTGGTTTGGGCTGCTATAAGAAAATACTATAAACTGGGTGGCTTATAAACAACAGAAATTTGTTTCTCAAGTTCTGGGGGCTAGAAGTCCAAGATCAAGGCATTGGCAAGTTCAGTGTCTGGTAAGAACCTGCTTCCTGGTTCACAGATGGCTCTTTTAAGCTGTGTCCTCACATGAGGGAAGTGGTGACCAAGCTCTCGCCAGCCTCTTTTATAAGGTCACTGATCCCATTCACTAGAGCTACGCTCCTGTGACCCAATCACTCCCAAAGGCACTGCCTCCTAATACCATCACTTTGATGTTGTTCAATGTATGAATTTGGGGAACACAGAAACATTCAGACCATAGCACTCAGTATCCTCATGTATAAAATTGGGATCCTAACAGCCACCTATTAGAATGGTTGTGTGGATTAGATGAGATTAAATGTGTAAAATGCTTCCCAGTCTCTTGCCCAAGTCCATGCTAAGAAAGCACTGCTCTTTCTGCAGGTCCTCCTACCTAACACTCCAGAGAGGACATATAGCTCTTTAGTGTCATGCCAACCACAGAGTAAGCTAGCAAATACAATTACTTTTGATTTTTGACACTTTTAAGTAAATCACCTCTTATAAGGAATTTTTTAGTTTCCTTCTAAGTTTTAAGACACTAGTCAAATTTACTATTTTAATAGAAGCAATAAAAAAATCCAAAGTATTCCAATATATTAAACTTTGATTTTATTTAAATTTTAAAGGGACCAAATATCGTATGTGTTTTGCAGTAGGAAATACAACACAGATATGAATCATGGGCATATTATGTATGACTGACATTGCACATGAACTATGATCAGTCTCACTGATTTTTTTTAAGGAAAAATTGTTCTAGTAAAAATATTCTAGGACAAAATTGTCAGAATAAATATATGCTGAATTTCTTTGTGAATCATTAGGAAGTATAATATTTTCAGTGAGCTAATCTGAAAGGTTTATTGAGAGAGATTGCTTTAAAACTGGATAACATGATTTGACTAACATTTGCCATGAAGCTAGTAGTTATTAATCTTTAAATGAAGAATAAAAATAAAAGAAGATATGTATTTGGATTTTTATCGTTTTTGTTTTCCTAAAATTATTAAAAGCTAAATAAATCTATATTCTGGTGTAGGAAAATATAAAACAAATGTGAGATTCCATCAGGTAGAAAATGAGGAAGAATGGTTCTCATACCTAGGATTAGCTGAATTTGTCCGGGAAAATCAAGAGAGTTTGCAAATGTTACAGGTAGACCTCTCACACATCATTGTCAGTCCCATGTTTTCTTTCTCTTCCCAATCCTAACTCACGACACAGTTTAGTAATCCTGCCAGAGCACCCAGTAATGCTGAACTGGTGGTGGGATCCCAGCTTGCCATGATGCACTAGCAGCAGCTACCCAAGAGGCTGTTCTGGCAGTAACTGAACCTAGGTATAAGAGTGGGAAATGCCCTTTAAATAGAAAGAAAGTAACAGATGAGGTGATATGCTTTTAACATATAAAATGCAATAAAAGTGTTAGTATTCAGAGTATGTAAAGAGTATTTATAAATCAATAAGAACAAAGAAACATGGGGTACAAGCAAGGCATTCACCAAAGAAGTACAATAAACTCACTAACCTTTAGGTAAATACAAAATAGAAAAAAAATTAAATTGGCAAAATTGTAAAGCCTAGGGCCTGGCTATTTCACTTCTCCTGTCTACCCTAAAAAAACTCTGCACTTATGCACAGTGAGGTATGCACATGTACTGACTGCAACATCACTTATAATCATGAGAAATTGAAAGCAAATTAAGTGTCCATCAAGACAGAAGTGGCTATGTAAAATACATGCTACATCCAGAACATGCAGTACTATTGCAATATACTCCATAGTTGTAAAGAATAAGCTAGAACTGGGTGTTCTGATAAAAAAAAGATCTTCATGATAGACTGGGGAAAAAAATTGTAAAACAACCTGTGTGATGTGATGTGTCACCATTTGTTTAAAAAGAAAGGAAGGAAGAAAGGAAGGAAGGAAGGAAGGAAGGAAGGAAGGAAGGAAGGAAGGAAGGAAGGAAGGAAGGAAGGAAGGAAGGAAGGAAGGAAGGAAGGAAGGAAGGAAGGGAGGGAGGGAAAGAGGCAGAAAGAAGGACTACTATAGATTTTCTATAACAGAAGCTTTCAAACTCTTAGAAGTGACCATCAATCATAAGCACATTTTATATCTTGACTGAGTGGACCCTTGCAGTGCACTCTGAAATTTTTTGATCTACTTTCAATGCATTCCATTCCATTTTAAAAAATGCTGGTCATGACCCATTAAATTGATTTCAGGTCTTAACTATAGTTTGAAAAATATTGTTTGGGGGCACACACATATGTATACAAATGGATAGAAAAGTGACTGGAAGGCAACACACCACTCTAATATCGGAGGTTACTTCTGGGGAGGTGGCTGTGATGGGTGGTGGCTCCGGGGAGCCTTAAGCCTCATTTGTAACCCTAATGTTTCTGTTTGCTTGCTTGCTTGTTTTATTTTTTAGAGAATAAGCAATTATAACTATTTTCAGAAGCTAGGGATTTACTGGGATTGAGGTGGTAGTGGTCAAACATTCTTAAGAAAAATAAATTTTAAGTTAAATTGCATAGTTGATTAGTCTAGAAGGCAGGCATTCTAGCTAACTCTCTCTGTTTTTGTATTTAGGGCCACAGATGAGCACATTCTTGTGGCAAGGTAGAGTCAAACCTATGTGATATTCCAGTCAAAATGTCATCACAAACCTAAGAACTCTCTGGCATGCTGTGAGATTTTAACTCATTACCTATGAATGTTGCGTCTGTAAATCAAAATCATAAAGTAATTAATATAAAAATGATCAAAACTCAAGCCCTCCATTTTCAGAAAATGCAAAGTTAATGTTTTTGTAGCAACATCAACTTGGCCACGTTGCACAGTGTCTCATTTTTTTTGGCATGAGCCTAGACAAACAAATAGTTACATTTTAAGAATTATTTCTGCAAGGGGCACCACTATAGGAAATATGGCATGTGTATACTTGGCCATCTCTGCAAACTGGAGCAGACAACTGCAGTTCTCTGCTTTCTATTTTAGAGCTACATTAATTCTTTCTGATTTGCCTTTACATATTTACCCTAAGGGTGATTTATTATACCTCATCTTAATGATAAAATAATTGATACTTTAAAGGAGTTAGACACAGTGTTCAGGTGAGATAGATCTTTAAATTCCAAACATTTAAAAAAGTATTAACTGCAGATGAATTAGAACTAGATTATTTCTTGTGATAATTTCTTAACTAAGATATCCATAAAGAAAATATTATTTCTTTAAATGCTTATCTTTTATTCTTTATTGCATTTTGTGTCATAAATATAAATTTTCATAAGCTTATAATAAAACAACTTGGCTCTTTTAAACAAACACATAAAATTTTCTCTTTAAATGTCTTGAAAACAAAATATTTATGGTAAAATATGCAAGCTTTCTCAGAAAGCACTTATGTAAGAATCATTTTTAAAAAATCTTAGCTATTGCTAAAGCAATGATTATATTCATATTTAATTTCATAGAGGCTCAATGTTGTATGAAGGGAAGAAAAGTGGATCTTTGAGGCTTTTTTATTAAAAAGGGAAATTGGCAAGAGAAGTATTGTTGCAGAAGCATACTTTATCAGGAGTCCTCAAACTATGGCCCACGGGCCATATGTGGCCCGCCGAGGATATTTATCTGGCCCGCTGGGTGTTTTTGCCGCCGCTACCTGTCCTGCTTAGCAGCCGACTCATCCTGGTGCCCACAGTGCATATGTGGAATGTGCATCACACTCTCCAATGGCCCTCCAATGGTCTGAGGGACAGTGAACTGACCCCCTATTTAAAAAGTTTGAGGACCCCTGCAAGTCTAGGTTAAGGGGATGATGGGAAAGAGAAGGAGGAAGAAGAGAAAGGAAGGTGGAAAATACACATCACACATAAGAAGTCTCTCTTCATTTTCTCCAGTGTGGTTCTATGGGTGAAAGGAGGCAGAGGTGGCCTTGTAGAGATTAAAGTCATTCCTTTAAAAAACCTTATATTATTCATTTAAGAATAGACCATTTGTGGCTATAACAGGAAACTGGGGAAGCAACCCCTCTGTAATTTGACATCATGTTAGCCTGAAATTGGGAAGGTGGTATGGCTCTATGATGAGAATTCAGTATAAATTATAAATGTGTCCGATTTAGACCTATAATTTTCATCCAGGTGAAACTTTCAAACCCTTGATTATTACAAATTATAATTTTCATCCAGGTGAATAATAATAATAATCAAGAGTTTGAAAGTTACTTAATCCTAGCTAAGAGGATTTTGGATTTGTTTGCTTTGTAAGATTGCTTATTCGGTTTACATTTAGTAGTTTTGGTAAAATTAGTTTTAAAACATGTTATAGAGGGCATAATGAATTAACAATTTTTAAGTATGATGTCCTCTTAACTATGCATGGCTGAAGCCTGGCTTTTCAGTGGTCACAGTGTCCAAAGCACCACTGACTCCTGATGGCAGCCTGCTGTAATTGCAAGCAAAATATTCAACAGCTAAGCAGTCTTTCAAATGTTATAATAGGAAACATTATTATGTTACATAGAAGTCTTAGAAGTAAAGGGAAGATTGTTTATTTCATATGATAAAATATTGAGGTGTTACAGGTTCTCTGTGTACTGTCTCATTGGTAGGGTGGGGTCTTTGCTTTAAAATATTTGTCAGAATTTTACTTCATTTTCCACTACTATCACTTTTGAAAGAGGACTCGATTGACTATAGAATTTATCATCCACAGCATCTGCAGGAATCGCTGTGTCCCAGAGGAAAGTACGTCAGATCAGTGATCCTATTCAGCAGATATTAATTCAGCTGCACAAAATCATCTACATCACACAGGTCAGTGTTCTAGCTTTTTATTTTCATCTTAAACGAAAATTTGGTGCTAATATTGCTGAAGAACTATTTTGTGGGACTGTGATTTTGAGTTAATACTTGTTCTTATTCTCTCAACAACATATATTGGGCGACATTTTGGTTTAGCAGCAGAGCTGGGAATGTAGTAAGGTAAAAAAGCAAATATGTTGTATTTTCCCTATGAATCCTAACCTACTCTCTCACTGTTAGTGCTCAACCAAAAACAAACTTTAACACAAATAGCCCTGCAGTGTGGGGTGAAAGTGGAGACAGAGCAGGACTTCTTTGCCCATAATCAGCTTTACTACAGGAAAAAAAGAGGAAAATAGTGCCCACCCATTAATACTGAGGATATTGGGTTGAAACCAGAACATTTCTGAGACAGAAAATCAAACCACAAAAAGTCCAGAATTGTTAAGACTTCTTTTTTGTAAATCTTGGTGACTCCTAGGCACCAAGGAGACAATCAATGCTAAAAAATGGCCATTAATTATAGACAAAAATCTGTCTAGTGATAAACAACTTAACTGTTCATTTACCAAAGGTAAATGTACAGTTATGTACTGTTAATAAAAAAGAAATTTTTGTAGACAAAGTAGTACAGACATTTGAACATGAAAGTATTATTTTGAAGTTTAACATTGTATGTCTTTTGCAGTTTATTAACTCATTTATTATTTGACATATAATTATTAGGTGCCTACTGTGTGCCAGATAATATTCCAGGCACTTAAGATATATCAGTGAGCAAAACATATAAATATTCCCTCACCCTAAGATTCAAAAAGCCAATGGGGGGATACTGTCAGTTGCCAATTGTGGCAATTCTGTTTATACCTGCAGGAACTGAAGAGAAATACCACTAGGTCATTGGACCAACTAGGCCCATTGTAAGTCAAACTTGGGCAATACTCCATCTATCACCTGACTAACCCCCTCCTCCCAAAAAACATTTTCATTGTTGTACTGCAGTGACATTATACAATTCTAGGAATTAGTGTCAATTTACAATCAGTGACTAGCATTCCCTGAAAGCCTGGGTATTTCCTTTTCCCCTGTGAACAGTCACTCTAGCAAATGGCTAAAAGTCTCTTTGGGGAAAGCTTAGAGGAGAATTTATAGTGTGTACTTGTAGCAATGCTTCAGGGCCCTTCCTCAAGGGGTTTCATCTTCCCCATTAATCAAGGGGCTTTGGGTCTTTGAATTGACTTATGTCTGGAAACCATATGAGAGGCTTTAACTCTCCACTGTGGCAGTGGCAACTCAGGTCAGGTTTTTGTCTAGAAGATCTAGAATTTCTTTTCTGTGAAATAGATCAGGGAATACTCTAGTAGACAGACCAGCTATTTCTTTTCCAGGAACACTCTAGTCAATTAACCACCACCCAAGATCTCTGTGGGCCAAGGCATTCTAACTAACAGTACGTCTCTGCTGCCCTTTATGGTAAATGCCTGCAATTTGTCACTTGTGGTCAATTCCTGTCATTTGGCCTCTGCCAGTTGGTTACATTGGAATCATGCATCCTTCAATGTCACACCTGGCCTATGAAGGAGAGCAACCAAAAAGCTTTTCAAGGATGCTGGTGCTCCCCTCTGCAAGGTGTTTCTCAATGTCTTAGTGAAAGGACTAGCTCTGGGGGTTCTTGATGAATGTGGCTGGGGAGTGGGTGTGCAGGTCACACATGGTAAATCCACCTCATGTTCCTGTCTCTCTAAGCCTTGAATTCCCCACTCCACATGCCAGAGAAGCTCTGGCATTTCATCATCACTAAACACAGGCCACTGGTGAGTACAAGTCAACCAATCAACTAAGCTACCACCTCTAGCTGCATGAACTAATGTATTAAATCTGGAATCTCTAGTAGGTGCATCCATATCAATGAATCCAGCCTGATCTTGTGCTATATTTCACCCTTCTTGGCCTAACATTCTTGCAATTCACTCCTGAACATATTCTTTGGGTTGCTGATGATATGTAATGGCAAAATCTCAGTTCTTTTGGTGTATAAGCTATTTCCTCCTGGGTCATAGTGTATAGATTATATTGAATTATGACCCTAGTTATGAATGTGACCCTCATTTTTGTGGGTCTTATGAGCATCCCTGTTTAACACATTTGTCCCAGACAAGGCTGTTATATAGAGTTTTTAAGCGAAGAAAGGCTTGTCTTCTTGGACACAGGTTGACAAGCTATTTCCACTAGCAAGGAAGGCTCAGAGCAACTTGGGTTTCAAGATTGTTAGTTTTATCTAGGTCTAACAAGATATCCCTACTCCAAGTTTTAGGATCCTATTTATTTTCTAACTTTCACATGAGAAATTTGATGAAGTTTGAATTCAACTGACATTGTAATTTAGCAACCTGCCCAATTAAATTTTGCATTTGATTAATGGCCATATAAGTGCTGTGGAAGCACAAAGCAATGGATTCTTGTAGGGCTGTCATGGATTCTTTTCAGGTCTCAGACCAAGACTTGAGCTGAGAGTTAAAGGACCCAAGTTTGTCATTTTCTTTCTATAAGTGCTCCAGAGTGCTTAGAAGAAACCAGTCTACACCACAGTCCTTATCATCACCACTTAACAATGAAAACAACAGCCATTTGGCACCTGCCAAGGCACCTGCTTCAGTTGGCCTTTCATCAAGGTGATAACCTGATTAATAGTGAGGCCACTGCATGCCATGGATCACTAGCACCCCACGTCCTGTTGGCCACAAACAAACAAACAAGACTTGGCACTGGGATCAGTTTCAAGGACATGATCAAACCAATTCCCACATCCTATCTGTATGAGTTCTTCTCCTGAGACATTCCTAGAACCTAAATCTGTGTTAGCGAAGGTCCAGCCAAAAACCACACAGTAATTTTAACAGGGAAGGCTTAATATAAATAATTGTGAACTATAACAGAGTATTATCTACTAAGGAGGGAGAGAGAAATCTAAGGAACATAGGAAGAGCAGATAGGGAAGTCACAATCTCTGGGGCTGAGGTGGAGCACCCAAGAAAGGAACACTTCCACCCTGGGCTAAGGTCTAAACCTCACTAGAACAGTCAGGAAAAATTGCTAAGGTGCTAAGCTGGAGAGATTTGAGGTTGAAGCGTCCCTCTGGGGGACCAGGGCAAGCCATCCACAGTGAGGTACCATGCTGTGGAACTTGGTGGGATAAGCATTTGAGGGTGTTGTGCTGAGAAGCACCCTCTGTGGGACCAGAGGGGGTAGGTGCTGCTCCCTGGGACCCTGTGGGGAGCCACCCGCAGGGTTGGTGCCACTGGAACTGACTAGGGGTGAGTACCAATCACTGGGGGTCCCACATGTGCTATCTACTGGGAGCTGCTGAAGCAAAGTGAGACAGGAGCACCACTGAAAGCAGAGACAAGTTCTACCCTTTCCCAGTGTCTCAGTAGTGCCCATTTCTGATTATGGCTTAGCATCCTGCCAGCTGGCAAGGGAGAAATGTTTTCAGCATCACAAGAAGGGCAATTAAGGGTGGGCTTAGAGCTGGCAGCACTAATAACTGGCATACTTAGCCTGGGGGAACCAGTCAAGGCACTGCCTTCTTTGGTACCTCCCCACCTCTGAATTCTCACTGCTTTCTCTTTGACTCTCCCTCTGGCCCAGGCAGTCTTTAACCCTTGGGCTGAGTAGCCTGGCTCTTATGTGTCTAGTTTTGTCCAAAATCTGGTATTCTTTTTAGTCACTCTCCTGACAGCTGCCTTTTTGAGGCACAAGATTCTAAAAATTGATTACTTTCCTCTCTATTTTCTGCTGTCAACCTTTCTCTTAGGCAATCACATAGAATTGTCTAGCTGATTAAATTAAAGAGGGTAAAGGGGTACCAGGAAGTATTGTTGGAGGGAGAGAAGTTTGGTTAATCTGCCATATCTGTACTAAGTTAAAATATTATATTCAAAATGCATTTCCATTTAAATACTGATATGGAAATATGAGAAAAGCATTCTTAACTTTAGCGTTATGGAAATAGCGTTAAATAGCTTTTTAGTTACCTCAATTACTAACTATTAAATTGAGAGAAATATTCTTTGAAATTTAAATATAGTTTCCATATGCCTGCCTTGCTAATTTTTATGTAATAAAAAACTTTTTAATGTATGTATTCCATTTCTTTATTGGATTTGAAAGTATTTTAAAGCAAGAATGAAACTAAATATCTTATTATTATGCTCTTAAACTGCCAACATAACAAATGATTTCATATATTTTGGCAGGATGGCATTCCTTGCTACAAGTTCAGATATAATTATCATGATTTTTAAAATGTATTTCAAGAATACTTTAAAGTTTATGGCATTGCCCGTAGTCAAGAATGATTTCCCTCTGAGAAATTTTAACTTAAGGTGCTAAACAAAGTCAATGTCTTTCAGATAAAGAAGAAAAATACACATCTAAACATTATGCTAGTCTATTTATTATAGGTTAAAGAGCAAGATCAGTTTTCCCGGCCTGCTAATTGCAAAGGAAAACTATTGATAGTAAGATTGAATTGACAAAATAAATAAACAAACAGAACCCTTCTTGTTCACATCTTTATTTACTAGCCAAACTCTCACGGACTTATAGTTGGTGGCTGCCCTGAACTGCAGGGCCAGATACCTCCTATTATAACAATCCACAGATGAACTTACAGGGAAAACTTGTTACTTTTGGCTGGCGGTGGCCTTTCTTGTCCAGTTTCCATGGAGACAGATCTGAGAAAATCATCTAAAAGCAACTGTTTTACAAGGCAGGATATTAAAATCCTTATCCTGCCTTCACTGAGTTGACCTCTGTTTTCATGAGAACTAAAATGGTAATTTCAAGACCAGCAAGCAAAGAATGAAATCAGTGGTTCATTTCCATTGCTGGAAACCAAAATCTATCTCTGGGCGTATGAGGTGACTAAACTACATATGCTATCTTTTAGTATGTGTCTTTATGTGTTATTGCTTAGGTAAGACGTGCACAGCCAAATTAAGCATTGAGTTTAACTCTATACTTATGTTTTGATTGTTTTGTTAAGTAAATGCTTTGAAAATCAGCATATAGCAACTTTTAAAAATTAAACATCTATCTCCTAGAGCTGTGCTCCCCAACCCCTGGGCCATGGCCCGGTACTGGTGGCCTGTTAAGAACCAGACTGCACGTCACTGCCTGAGCTCCACTACCCTCCCCACCCCACCATCCATGGAAAAATCATCTTCCTTGAAACTGGTCCCTGGTGCCAAACAGGTTGGGTCCTGCTGTCATAAAAAGCAGACAGGCAGTTTCAAGATCCTTTGGATTGCCCATCTTCACAATCACAATTATTGCCAAGAAGAAAAAAACGTGATTAAGGATAGCAATGTGCTGTCTGTCCTCAGATGAAAATTATATTACTGACTGTCAGTGGTGAAACATACTGTGTTCTTTTCAGCATTAGTGCTGGATAAAAATAGAACCATCCTTACCCACTCGTCTGGATTTCCTAGTTACTAATGGCAAGGGTGAATGAGATTAAACAAAATAAAATATTTAGGGTAAAGTTGTGTATTTCTCAAATTGCCTCACATCTTCAGGGTTTGTAAATTCTAAGAAGGTGTTATATTTTGTGTATTTATTTTCATGAAAATATTTGAACATTTTGTTTTAGCACTTAGGGAAATCTCCTCTTAAGCAGTAATATGCCAAAATAATTTTTTGAAAAATAAGACAAGACACTAATTTAAGTCACTATCAAATGGAGCCTTGTAACTATGAATGGTCATCTCATGTGTTTTTTGAGTTACTAGAGAATGCAGGCAGTTCTTTGGAAAGAATCCATGAAAATTCTGCAAGTTTGAGAAAACTCATATAAAATATCCAGAACAGATTTTACTTTTTCTTTTGTCACTTTATGTGGCATAGTAAAAACAGGCAAATAAGACCAAACTTAGATTTCAGACTTTGAGGAAGTGATTATCTTTTCAAGAATCAGTTCCTTCACTGGTAAAATGGGGGAGCTTGTAGAATACAGTAAGACCAATAGCTTTCTAATACTGCCCTGAACATGCATCTTAAGTTGACTGGTAACTTACTCATATGAGTTTTTATAAAGATTAATTCAGGCTATCAGGAGCAGCAAAAGCAATTCTGATTTAACTAGAGGCTTATCAAGTTAAATGATTAGCAAGAATTTGCAGGGTATCTGAGTCCATAATTTGATACCAGTAGCTGCCAGTACTGGGCCAAGTCCCCTTTGAAGGAACCCGCGAGCCCACTGGTGTCTCACACATTCAGGTTTGTTGCAGCAGAGGAGGCTTACTGTCTTTCCCTCTGACAGCTACGTTGCAATCAGCTGGGCAGCAACGAGGCAGTCCCTGGCCAACACTTCTTCTGGTTTTTGATTTGGGAAAGTGGCGACTTCTGGTGCATAATAATATGAAATTATTAAACCCGGTGTCTTTTTAGGTACTTTTCTAGTCCCCTCACCACTCCAACCCATCCCCTTGCCAGCAAAGTATGCACATGCATCTCCCATCATTGCCTGTTTCTACTCTAAGTTAAATTAATTTCTCTTTTGCTGTTCTCTCACGCACACATATATCATTTATACTCATTTTCCTTCTCATCCGTCTGCCAAATATTTGCCCCTTAATGCTGGGAAATCTCTCTCTCTGCCCCCTTCTGCTCCCCCTCTCTTCCCTTCCTTCCTTCCTATGCATTTCTTGGTTTCCCCCTTTCATTCCATGTGAAAAGACAACAATAATTATGGCTATTTTCTGGGGGTGAAATGAGGAATCGCATCTGGATCAAGGTAAAGATCAAGGATCAAGAAAGATCAAGGGGCCGGGCGTGGTGGCTCACGCCTGTAATCCTAGCACTTTGGGAGGCCGAGGCGGGCGGATTGCTCAAGGTCTGGAGTTCGAAACCAGCCTGAGTGAGACCCCGTCTCTACCAAAAATAGAAATAAATTAATTGACGAACTAAAAATATATATACAAAAAATTAGCCGGGCATGGTGGCGCATGCCTGTAGTCCCAGCTACTCGGGAGGCTGAGGCAGTAGGATCGCTGAGCCCCGGAGTTTGAGGTTGCTGTGAGCCAGGCTGACGCCACGGCACTCACTCTAGCCTGGGCAACAAAGTGAGACTCTGTCTCAAAAAAAAAAAAAAAAAAGAAAGATCAAGGATCAAAGAAAGCTATAATATTGACATCAGAAGAGATCAGTAAGACTCAGTGCTGCACCCTCAGTCCTGCAAAACGTTTCAAAGTATACTAAAGGGCTTCAGGATCTCCGCAACAGTCTTATCTCTTCCTTAATTACACCTACTTTGACTCAAGCACTAGGATTAAAGATACATTTTAAAAACATTTTTCAGTTGCACTGTTTTTCCGTTTTATGTGATTATAGTACTTTGTAATAGGCCCTACATCCCATTGTGGTTGGGAGGATGAGCAGTTTGTCTTTGGCTATACAATCAGCTGTCGTGAGCCCTTGTAGACCCTATGCTTGGCTCTACCATTACCCTTTGTCTATCCTCCTCTTCCATCAAACTTGAGTGGAGAGATATACCCTGTATTCATCAGGATAAGGGAAGTTATACTGCACTAACAGATATACGCTAAATCCCTTGGCTTGAGACAGGAGAGGTTTATTTCTCAGTCAAAGTTGGGTTGGTCAAGTGGCCCTGCTCTATCTTGTGGCCATGCCATCAGAATAGGTGGACTCCGTGGTTCTTGTGGTAGGGGAGGACAGAAATGGAGGAAACACACTGGCTTTGGATCGTCTCATCCTCCGAGTGGCACAAGTCATTTTTATTGGCTAAAAGCAGTCACATGGCACAGACTCAAACTTTAAGGGAGCCAGGAGGAAAATGGAGGAAGAGTGAGGTAATAATTGTCTCTGACATATTCCTCTTTCTTTTGCTCTGAGCTTTGATTCTATGCTTAAGTTTGAGAGCTCGTACTACCACATTTTCCTTCCCACTTAACCATCTTTTTTCTTACTGGTTCCTTTTCTCTCCTTTCAAGTTCTCTCCATAATTTAAACAAAACTAAACATTATTTTAACCCTGAGACCCTTGTAATTCAGACTTTTGTAATTCAGATTTCTTTTTTATTATCCTTCTTCCAAACTTCACTTCATCTCTCTGTGCTTTTCAGGACCTTTGATTTTCTTGTATAGATCCAACCTGCAAAGCATTACAAATGAGTTTTTTAAAATCCTAATTTTCATCTAATCACCACATTTCCTAAGGTTCTAAAGTGACATTCTATTAATACTACTCACTTATTAAATCTAGCTCATCCTGGTTCAGCCCTAATATATACTGATCCATTTTCTCTTTCTCTCTTCTGGATAAAATTGCTCTCTAAAATCTGATCTCTCCCCAGAAGAAATTTCAGGAGCATTCACAAGCAGGCATCTGACTATATACTAATGTAAATAAGTGTTTCCCGTTCCAAAATATCAGGTCCTTCAGGGTCAGGGCCATGGCTGGGGTGGTTAGCATGACTCTGGGCATGCCATAAGCACCTAAACATATCATAAAATGCACCCCTCCTTTGTCAAGGCTGTTCTTTACATAATTCAATATATGTGTGCATTAATAAATTAGTTGTTAAATAATAAAAATAATACCAGTAAGTAAAAAACAATAAGATAAATGGAAGCAGCCCTTTGAAAGAAAGCAAAGTCAAATATTTTATTCCTTCTGGGTCTTAGGGTAAAAAACTATAGCATATAGTCATACTATTTGCAATAAAATTTAAATTCTTATTTAGTCTCGTTGAGTGAATATCATTACATTGACACTTAGTAAATGCAGTGTTAACAATTTGTTTATAATAATTTTCTCATTTTATGCAGCTTCCTCCAGCTTTGCACCACAATTTGAAAAGAAGGGTTATAGAGAGATTCAAGAAGTCCCTCTTCAGCCAGCAGAGTAACCCTTGTAATTTGAAATCTGAAATTAAAAAGGTATGATATTCTATATTTAGGAATTCTTTTGCTAACAAAAACACAAGAGTTATATTTTACATCTTCCTTACTTTGTACTGTAAGCTGTCTATACTCTGTTAAAGGTTATTATCACTGCTTAAGGTATTAAATTGAGGTTATGTCTTTGCCTCTAATTTTCTCACCTTTATTTCTGTGGCCCTTATTATCAGATAACTAACAGAAAGTTCTTTCAGTTTTATTGTGTTTTCCTAAGAGTAGATGTTATTACATATCTTTAATTTGAAATCTGCATAATTTAGCCTTTCTTGGAGGATTGCATTTCAATATTTTATTAGAATAAATTTTATCGAGCCCCTAAATTAGCTTTGCCACTCTGAAGAAGTCATTTAACCAAGAAGTTATGATTTTTTATCACATATGAGGGTTGTTGGAACTATTCCTAACGTTATTTCCATCTTTGCCATTCTACAGTCTCCCAGACTTCTGGTGCTAGCAAATATTTCTATTCATACATACAGAAACAAAGCCACAAAGAGTCTGAAGCAATCAAGCAGAAGGAAAATTGTTTACTTCTGGTTAACAAAACTTGGTGATCCCCTTGTCCAGGTTGATAGCCTTTTTAATACAGCCCCTGAAGGTGGCCCTGAGGTCCCCATTCTCCTGTCCCTGAAAAGCCCAAGGTACAAGCAATTTGAGTCCACCTGTGTAAAGATGCTTGGTCCCACTCCAATTTCATATTTTTAAAAAAGTTTCATCATATGTTTAAACTTTGGTATGATCATGCTGCCAGTGACCTTTTCCTTTACATTTTCTATTTAATGAATTCAATTTTAAGTATAAACTTGCTTATTCAGTATTCGGGAGATATGATAGGCTCTTTGATAATAAATGCAAGCAAAATGTTTTGGCTTGGTTGTCTTCTACGAGTTGGGTCTGCACATACATACAAGAAGGGAAATGACTTTGGCTTTGCACAGTTATTGCTCTAGGTCTGCTATCAAATATTTCTCCAAGGAGTTATGGGTTAGAGGAAAGACACAGCTGCAAGTAAACAAAACATAAACCCTACCTCACCAGAGATTAGAGAGCAAGATATTTTTCATGGTTGTGTTGGGAAATAAGGCCAAGAAACAGAGCTAGAGGAGATAAAAGCAGAAGTAGAGAAGACCTCAGATATTTATCTTACAATGTTTATATACTGTATCATGAATACTAATAAATATATTTTTAAAAACAGAAACTCAAATCTCCCATGAAAAGATTACATGTTGCTTATGGTTTATATTCTTATTAAAACAATATTGAGAGTAATCCAGTTTGTACACAAATTTATTCTAACAGAAATCTTAGTTTTATGAGAAGGAAAGCATCTGCTGCAAACTGTCTGCTACGCAAAGGTGGCTTCAACTCTCCCCTGCTCAGTGATTTTCCATCAGTGCATGCCCTTGAAGTGCATCATGTTCTCTTTTATCATTTAGGTTTTCAGTTTTACATTTCTTCCTCACTGTTTTTCTTTCCTCCCCTGATGGAAAAGAAGATCCGTTTGTTAAATTCTCCCATCCTGCACCTTGTATTCCTTCCTCTGGATGCTGACAGCATCTCTCATTAGAATGCTTCTCTTTTGTTCCTCTTGATCTGGGACAATAAAAACAGATATTGATGGGGTGGTACAGGGTGTTTGGGAAGCACAGGTGAGGGAAGTGAAGGAAGGATAAACTCACCCTTATTTTTAAAGTGGTTAAGATGCAGGTTAAACTCTCCCATGAAAAATGCCAACGTCCTCTTCTCTGCTATTACAAGCTCATGGGGTGGTCTGGGGACATCTGTTGTGGACCCTTAGGTAGGAAGGGGCCATATACATTGTTCTAAGGCCTGAAGGTTGGAGAGGGGGACAGTCAGCTCCAGGGCTCAGCTAGTGATCGACAGAAGCAGGGTTTGTAATCTCTGTTTTTTTTTTCCTCTTTCTGGTATAATCTTTTGCTAGCAATATTTTTTGTTCTGAAATAGGTTTTTCATCCCCTGTACAGTCACAGAGGAGTGGCCAATTATCCTTTGATTGACAAAGTCACCCCATACCAGGGCCAAGCAGTAAGTGGTGACAGCACACAAAATGCAATTGATTTTCACCTTTCCCTCTGAAGCTTTTCCTGAAATCCATGGACCCCATGTCCCCAGTTTGAAGGAGTCGTTAGGGGATGATTGTACCTACTTATTAATGGCCTAAGACCCAGCAGGACATATACAGGATTCAAAAAATGAGAAAGCCCTTTTCTAAGAAATTAAGCTCCTTATTTATAACTCACCTAAGGTGGTCTTCAGGCCAGTCTACTCAATCTTGTCTAGAATTGTAAGGGGAATAAAGCAATTAAATAATTGCACAGGTATCTTTGGGAACTAGCATTTTCAGCATGGGAGAAAGGAGAAATGGTAGTAAGATAGAAGAGATCAACTCAAATTAGAATTGGAAGTATCAATGTGAATGAGTATGAATTAATGATAAATCTCATCTATTAAAAAATATACACATTTCCTAATACTTTCACTAAAAAAGTCTAGAAACCAATCAGCAGCAGTGAACTCCCTGACCCATAACTCCTTGGAGAAGTAGTTGGTTGCAGACCTAGAGCAGTAACTGTGCAAGTTTAGACTGGAATATCCTGACATAACAGGATATGTGTTCAGATATGTGTAGTTACACAAATAACTTACCATTGTGTTATAGTTGCCTACAGTATTCAGTACAGTAACATTCTATACAGGTTTATAGCTTAGGATCACTAGGCTACACCATATACCCTAGGTGTGTGGTAGGCTATGCCATCTAGGTTTGTATAAGGATACTCTATGATGTTCGCACGATGACAAAATCACCTAATGACGCATTTCTTAGAACATATACCCATTAAGTGATGTATGACTCTATCAAGGAATCAATAACTTCTTTTAGATGGGATAATTATATTGTGGTTCTGTTTTTATAAAAAAAAGGAAATCCGTCTTTTTTAAAGAACCATGCTGAAATATTATGGAGGGCAGTATTTGCTTTCCAATTCCTGAGAGTCCGATGAGGTAGGAAGGGAAGTGAAGGAGATGTAAATGAAGCAAAATTGGCCATGAGTACCTGGAGTTCATTGTATTGTTCTCTATACTTTCATAAATGTTTCAAATTTTTTATAATAAAAAGAGTTGTGGGTTTTTGTTTGTTTGTTTATATTGATTCCAGGCTCCTCCCAGACCAATATCTGGGCATTAGCACTTTGAAAACAGCTCTCCTTGCAAAGTTACCACTTAGAATTGGACAGGTGATATTCTGTCCAAGAACAGCTGGATGAAGGGACTGACTGGGGCTGTATCTTCTGGGGGAAAGGAGTGACTTTCTAGTTTGCACAAAGGCATGGTACGGGCTAGTTGGAGCCCTGGCTCCAAGTGATTCTAGCTTATAGTCAAGGCTGAGGATCAGTGCATCATAAGTTACAAATGTCATTTGGACCAAGGATTGAAAGAAACAAAAGAACCTAGACCCGGGTGGGAAGCATTTGGCTATTTAGGTGTGTGTCTATGCCCAGGAATTCACAAATTTTGCTGCACATTAGAATCACCTGGAGCTTTTAAACATCTTGATGCTCAGACCACACACCACATCAGTCAGTCCTCAGGTATTGGATTACTGGGAATTGGCTCTTCAGGAGTTGGATCCAGGTTTCAGAGTTTTTTTTTTTTTTTTTTTTTAAATCCCAGGTGATTCTAACATGCAGCCAAAGCTGAGAATTAGTGGCCTGGCAGGATGAGTGTTTCTCAGATTGTATTGTGCATATCAGTCACCTGGGGATCTTGTTAACAGGTAGATTCTGATTGAGTAGGTCTGGGGAAACAGGGTTGAGATTGTGCTTGTCCAACCAACCCCAGGTGATGGCTGCTGCTGCTGATCAGTTCAAGCATCAAGGCTATAGAATATAGCACCTGCCCACTATGAACTTACAGTATATCCAACAGACTTGAGACCTTTTATTAGAAAGACAGGTTTTCTAGTAGGCCAAAATGTTTGTCCAAGATGAAATCACATCCTGGGCTCAAGATTCTGCATTTCTACCCAGATCCCAGATGTTGCTGATACTGCTATTCTGTGGGCCATACTTTGAGTAAGAAGGCCTAGACAAAACCCAGTGACATCTTCCCTGTGTTATGGGGTGGATTACCCAGAATTACTTCCTATAGTCATGGGCCATCCTGCTAGTTCTCTTCACTTCCTATCTCCACTTCAACACAGATCAGCAAGGTCAAGTTTATCTTATCAAATGTCTGACAGGCTTCCTAATTCCTAACTCCAGGTTTCCAGTTCTTTTCCAGGCAGGCAGATTGCTTAGCTCCTCAGACTTTAATTAATGGCTCCTTAGGCATATAATAATCATACCTTATACTTGCCTAGCCCTCCTTAGGGCTCCACGGAGGCATCATAAATCAACACAGCCCACCACTGAACTTTTTGACCAAGTAGAGAAACCCCAATAGCAGGGCTCTCCTGCCCAGCCATGTCAGGCCACTATTCACTCTTCGCCTTGACATACCTTCAGTGTTGAGCCAAAGCTCTGGGTGGATAAGTTCCTGGTTGTAATTAACATAGAACAGTGGTTTTCTATCCTTCTTTTAGTTTTAGAATTTTCTATTAGGAACACAGTTCTTGCTGCAAATGTGAACATCACAGCAACAGGGCTGCTTTTGGCAGAAGTGGGGATGAGGGTGAGGTGTGCATCCCTGGGATTTCAAGAGTATGGTAGAGCTGATGATGGACCGTGCTTCTGTGTGTGCACGTGCACACGCACATGTGTGTATGTTTATGTGTGTGTGTGTGTGTGTGTAGTAAGAAAACAGTGTGTATAAATGCTGGAAGTTTCTATTAACAAAGAGGCCTGAAAAAAAGCTAATAAAAAACCAATGGAAAGGAGCTGTAGGTTAGAAAAGATGAAAGATTAGTGAATATTTTATGTCTTATAATGGTGTACTTCAGTCAAAGAGAACAAGGAAAATCTAAAGGAAATAAGACCAGAGGACTGGCAAGTGCAGTGTGATGTTGAAAATTTTCTCATTTCTGGTACCCAATTTTATTTATGTTTGACTCAATTTCCTTCAAAGTTCTACCTCATCTGATTAGATCCCTAATATTTTGTGTGGTTGTTCTACAGCAATGATAACCCTATTTTATGATATAAAAAAGAAGATGTAGTCTGGAAAATGTAATGAAGATTATATGTGTAGTTCCTCATTGTTTTCTTCTATTTAGGTTTTGCCTAAAAACTACTATATTCTCAATTGACCAATTAAGTGCTAAATTTCCTCAATACTTGCTCAAAATCAGTGGGTTTTATTTGGGGGGGGGTGGTAGTAACAGTGGTACAGTCTGTTCTCCTTAATATATTTACTTGATTTATTTAGTTAGTGTGTATAATCGTTTGTTCTGCAGATCTGTAGATGTTTATTCGGAGCAGGAGAGCCCTTTTTTGTCCGTCCAGAAGGAGGGTCTTAATGCATTCTTTCAAATAGCATCTATGCCCAAAACAGAGGTACACCTATAAGCTGAATTCTTATGAGACAAGAGAGGGCGCACACAACACTGGTAGTGGACTGCTGACCCACCTCATAGCCTAATCGAGCCATTGGGGCCACTGCTTTATTAAAGATGTTCTGTTGTAGCCTCCATGTTTCCATGCACTGGGTGACTGTTTACTTTGCCATCTGGCATGTCCAGAATTAGACTCACCACCTTCTCCTCCCTTCCCGTGTCCACATCAGTTTCCTTGTAAGCATCAGTTTTCCTTTTGCTCAGTCTTTAAACCTCACAATTGCTTTCAACCATTCCACTTTATTTCCTATATCCCCCCCCCCCAAGTCATTAATGCCTAGGGAGTCTTTGTAGTGTGTGGGGGGGTTGACCCTTGATGTTAGATAGCCCTGGGTTCTTGCCCTGGTTCTGCCATTTAATAGTATGCTTCCTGTGCAAATTACTTTCTTCCTCAGTTTCCTTGTCAGTCAAATGGAGCTAATGCCTGCCTTACAGGACACTTGTAGGAACCAAACGGACTATCTAATGTGTCTAGAATATCTAATGTTGTAAGTACTCACCAAATGGCAATAGGTGCTACTGTTGTTATAAGTAAGAATATTCCATCTCCCATATCCATTCCTATGACAAAGGAAGGATAACCAACGGAAGGTTGGTTACCATCTAGTAGTCTATGCTCTTGGCCCTTCTTTTTTGCATTCATGTTACAGCTTCTTTGCTAATCTCCCTGTTCTCCAATCTATTTTGCCAGACTAATAGTTCTTAAACATGTGTTTTTTATTAGCATTCTGAAAAACCTTAGTAGATTCCAGTTTCCTACCTCATTATCTAAACTCTGGGATCCAGCTTTCCGGGCCTCTGTTGTTTCCAGGAGCCTCCTCATTGTCTGCATTCACTCTGATAGTCCTAACTCCACTCAAACTGTTATACATGTTGCATCTAGGGCTGACTTTCCGAACAAATCATGTCACATGCACACATCTACCTCACACCCCACGCACATCACGGAGAACTCTTCAGGGGGCTCTTAGTATAAAATGCCCGTCGTATTCACAGTACCATTTGGTGCAGCCTCGCCTATCTCTCTGCCCTTACCTGTGTCTCCCTTGCTCCTTCTTGTCTCCACACCAGCCAAGAAGGCCCTTTCTAAAGTTTGTCCACCATGTTGCTTACTTCATAGTCTTGTACATGCCTTTTTCTCTGCCTATAATGTTCTTCCCACCCCATCCTCTACTCATTCTTACTCATTGTTTAAGCTCTTAACGTAAAGGTCACTTTCTTGGGGAAGCCATTCCTGGTTAAGTTAAATCTGTTACCTCCTAAAAAACCACAGACCGATCCTTCAATGCATTTAGCACCGCTGCAATTGTACAGGTATTTAGATGGGTATTTCACAGACATATTTCTTCCTAAGTGGGCACCAAGTTCCAAGAGTATAAATTTTAGCCATCCTTGTTTTTTTTTTTTTTTTCATTATTTGGATCTGTGCTTGGCACATAATAATTGATTTTTAAAAAGTACTAAATTAATGAATGGCACTTGTTTTCCTCTCTTCATCCTGAATCCCATAACCCCATAACATGGAATCGTGTCACATCCTTTTCATCATTTTGCCATTAACATACAATGCCTGACTTTTACTCCCAAGTTCCACTCACCTTGAATGTCTGTTTTGCTTCCTATGATCGACCCAACTCCATCCTTCAAGGCTCGTCTCCAATGTTTCTTCTATAGAACTTCTGAAAGCCATGCTAGTCTTCATGAATCACCTTTCTTTTTATAAGTTTAGAACCTACCACTTCATTTTACACTTCATGATTTATTACATCACCCTGTTGTTGAACATATATTAGCCCATTTTCCTTAGTCTGATTACAAACAAGTCTTACAGAAGCCAGATCATGTCTGTGTCCCACTCAGACTGTAAAGCATGCTGTCTGATATATAGTAAGGGGCAAAAAATGTTTGCTGAAAGAATATGTGTATCTTGAAACTGAATTGCAAAAAGAAGTTCTGGGCAGTTCCTAATAAAAAGAAATGTATCTGGGATTCAAACACAAAACTAATGAATTTTAGTCCTTGCTTTCACCCATGGGCCCATCTCTCTACTAATTTGCAGTTCTTAAGCTAAAGGAGACTACTAATGTGACAGAAGCAGTGTAAACCTCAAAAACTACCCTTTTTAAGGTTTGAGATCAATGAAAAGGACTTGTCCTTCTCATCTTAAAATGGCAATCTTGATGTCTGAAGGTCACAATTCACATACTTTTCTTTGAGGCTTTAAACATCTTCCTGTCTGTGAAATCTTTAGGATTCCAAGGTATATAATAATTAAGTTGAATAGCTTTTTATAAGTCAGATGAACATGTCAGGCAGCCAAATTACTCCTATGCTAAATAATATGAAAATAATCCCATCTGAAGACATTTGAAAGATAATACCAGGAAATCATTTTCAGTATCATAAGGCATACTAAAAATCTTAGTTGGAGCCACCTTCTAGCTGGGGTATGAGCCATACAGAATGCTTAGGGCTACCTCCATGGCACCCTATAGCAATGATAAGAAAATTATTGTGTGTCTGACTATCCGATCCTCTGGTATTACAGTATCTTACAATCTTACAATCTTGTCATATTACAGATAGGTTATTAATTTTATCGGTTGTCATTGAAGCAAGGAAAATAAATTTTTAAGAGTGAAAAAGATGGAACCATATTTTTTTCCTAAAGCATAAGTAGGTGTTTGGCAACATGGAAACTGAAAAACACATAAATGATCCAAAATGTATCGATGGAAAAATTAATTTTCACTTGCAAATATAAAATATTTTAAGATATAAATGCATAATGCATGCAGGGAGTTATTAACACATGGATAGCTCCATGAACTTTTATGAATATGTATTCACCCGTATGACAACCACTCACCTCAGTGTATAGAACATTTCTGTCCCTGCAGAAGGCTCCCTTGTTCCCAAATCTTGCCACCTGCCACATGTAATTATCTTGATTTCTACCACCATTTGGTTAGTTTTGTCTGATTATGAAAATGTATATAAATGAAGTCATTCTTTTGTTTCTGGATTCTTTGGTTAATATTCATTCATGTTGCCATGAGGATTAATAGTTTGTTCTTTTTTATTGCTTTGCAGCATTCCATTGTATGAGCACACTGTGATATCCATTCTTCTGTCCATAGACACTTGGGTTTTTTCCAGTTTTTAGTTATTATGAATAAAAGTGATATGAACATTCTTACACATGTCTTTTGATGAATATATATACTTATATCTCTCATGCAAATCTTTAAGAGTGATATTACTGGGTTATACAGTAAGCATATGTTGTTTAATTGTAGTATGTATTGCCAAACAGTTTTTTCAAGTGATTGAACAATAATGTAGTTTAACTCACGAACAGAGTATATGAATTCAAGGTAACTATTAATGCATAGTACATGTTGCACCATTTGTTTCTGGCTTATTAATATGAAATGACACTTTTAAAGTATATTATGTTAACTTAGGCACTAAAACATGGCCAGCCCAAGTGATGGTTACAATTAAAGTTGAAAGGAGGTTGAAAAACATTTATAGCATAAAATTCCATTTTAAAAATTCAACTTTATAGAAGGGTATTAAACAATTCAAACATTAATATTTATCATTTGGTGAATTACTCTTTCCTTCAGAGTTTTGAGAATTAATGTTTGGAGATTAAAAATGATTAATAGTAATATAGAAAGATGTATTAAGAAACTTGTTTTTCTTGGTCAAACAAGAAGCCATTATTCAAAGCAGATACATGAAAAGGGATAATGATTTGGGCTAAACATATTGTTCTGTTGGATAATTGGAGTTTATTCCTCCTACATCTGATAAAAATAACATTCTGATGTCCCAGGCTCATGCCATTATTTATCTATCCGTTTTGGTTTTTTTTGCTCTCACAAAGCTATGAATTGTACTTTTTTCATGTGACTGGAGAATTCGCCTGCATCCAATTTGTAACTTCTTTTGGAAGAAAGAACATGTTTCTTTATCTATTTACAAGGGATTAAATGCCACCGAGCACTAAACTTTCTGTGCAGAGACATAGGGAAATGAAAACCCCCCTGCAGAGGTCTCCTGTCATTTACTTCTGAGGGTAAAGTAAGATGTGCCTTTGCTTTTTCTGTTTTAGTTATCTCAGGGATCTCCAGAACCTATTGAGCCCAACTTTTTTACAGCAGATTACCATTTATCACATCATTCATCGGGTGGAAACAACCTGTTCCCAAACGACCTGTCAGGTAATGGTCATCAACATGGGTTATCAGGCTTTTGCAAAGACATGTACTGTGTAGATCAATAGCTATTCCTAAATGATTATCTTCAGTTTGAAGGAAAAATAGAGCTTATTTTGAGTATCTATGGCAATAGTTGGAAGGGATATCTGGTAGGAATCTAGAAATTCCCCTAGATTTATCTTGCATAGTTGTGGCAGCTTCCTTGATCATATATTAATACCATAAACAAACAGCAGAATCTGTGTAGGTGAATTGCATTTCCTTTCATTTCTCCTTGCTTATCTGATGATGGTAAATCAAATGCCCTAAAGCATTTAGGGAAATAAAAAGCAGAAATGAAAAGCTTAAATAATCAAAATGGAGAAAACTTGAAACTTATCTGAAAAATCTACATCAGACATATTAAACTTTTTTTCTTTTTAGCAGAAATTTCACATAGGGAGGCAGTATAGCATAGCGATGTAAAGGCAGTTTCTGGAAACCTGGATGCCTAGATTCAAATCTTGGTTCAACTATTTTGTATCTGACCTTGCACAAATTATTTAGCCTCTCTGAACCTCAGTTTCTTCCCCTGTAAAATGGGGAGGAAAATAATACCTGCATCCTACAGGCATAGAAAGGATCAGAGTAAACATAAAAAGTGCCTGTCCATCAGTAGGGGCTTAGCAAAATTGAACTCTTTTGTAATAGTTGAACTCTAAGAGGAAACTTCCAAGCTACTTTGAGGTTTCAGAATTCCTAAATAATTTTTGAATCTTTATAAGCTATAGTTATGTAACTTGATGGAGTAGATAAAAGTGAAGCTATTACAGTTAAATGGAGACTTGCCATCTCTACAGCTTGGAAAAAATGCTCACTTTTGTGTTTTTTCTTTTGTTGTCTATGCAAATAATTTAATGTATTAATTAGCAAACTTTCCCAAAGTCTTGAACTCCTGGGATAAAGCTAACTCCCATGTAGGCAGAATTTTATTTAAAATAGTCCCCGAGAAATCCGTAAGATCAAGATAAAATGTTGTATAAAGTCATTTGCTTTTGAAAACCTCTTCCAAGACAGGTAAGTTCATCTGCAGGCCAAATTTGTAGCAACTCTGAAGAATTGAAGAACCTTGATAAAAATCTCTCAGAAGCCTGAGAGCAAGTTGGCAAACTCCTCCCAGGGCATCTGGATGCTCCACCCCAGAGCTGACCAGGCTTAGCCCATGTCACAGCAGGCTGGGCAAAAGCAAAGACAACAGAGCTTGCCAGCACCATGGGGAACATTTTTAAACTTGGCTTTAAAAATGGGCTGACAGTATTGACATCTTTATGCCTCCCCTCAACCTTCAACCCATTCTCTTTTCACTATCCAAAGTGATAGGGGAACTCCTGGGCCTCCATCAGTGTTGATGGGTTTGAATAAACCCATTGGTTCATTGCTGGCCAACATTGCTTTGAGGGGTATCAGAGTGTGTTAAGATGCTGGTATACCAAATTCAGAGCAACCATCAAAAAGTTTTCTGGCATTAAATGTATTTTATTTCCCTCTAGGCAGCCATATGAAAGGGTCAGGACTTTGTTGTCTATTTCTGCCTCCCTGTATGAATTAGTTTTCTTTCTAGCATGTATTTACTCTTTTTGCCTTATGGATTAGGGAGAGTTTCTTAATTAGAAAACTTACCCATCAGGTAGTTTGTGTTCAGAATCATTCCTTACCTGCCCTTAATACACACACACACACACACACATACACACTCCTAACTTAATTGGCTAATATATACCATGAGCAATGCCCCTAAATCTTTGTATATTATTTTGCGATGGTCATGCCCAAAGCCAGTTTTTACAGAATGAAAAGCAAAAAGTTTGAATATTCAAAGCCAACAGACTTTGGAATTTGCTTGTAAGTTTCATCTTTATCATTAAGAAATTGACCTGTTTGCACTGTGGCTGAAGCCATAATTGCTTAAATAAAGTCTAAGTAGGAAAATGTGATCCAAATGTCAGACTTTCCATAATTTATCTATTTCAGGTCTACCTACCAGCTTTGATTTGGAGGAAGGACTAACATATGAACAGATGCAGGTAAGGTTTTTGCAATGCCTCTGAATGATTTTATTTTGTTGCTTTTAATTCAATACTATTTTTTTTTCCAATTTTAGACTGTGATTGAAGAAGTCCTAGAGGAAAGTGGCTATTACAATTTTACATCTAACAGGTAAGGTCTAGAGTTTGCTTTCAACTGTGAAAGATGAATTGAGATCATTGGATGTTAGATCTGAGTTTTCTATCCTTGATTCCAGAGGGTTTTTATTTTTTCCTTTCAATTTTTATTTTAAATACTTTTTATGAAATATCTTTGTTTAGATTAGATACATCCATGGGTGGAATATATGTTGCCCATCTTTTGTGTGGACACAGCTGTTGAATTTTCTATTGAAACAAAAAGGGTGACTGCTTAGTAGTAATTTACTCCCATATAAAATAATAAACATAATTAAATGTAAAAGCATATCTAGATTGTTTTTTTAAAAATTAACTGTCCCATTCAAGAGGAGCTAGAAACTCAGATTTCTATCACTTAAATCTGCTCATTATTTGCATAGTATGCTAGGGAAATTAATGCAACTGAACAAAGAATCACTTCAGGTAAATTTAAGATATGTTTGTAGGGAAGAGACTTTGCTATTATGTGTTGCTATTTGCTTACCCTAGATAAGAAACCTCCAATTACTGGGAGTTGTATATTATCTTCTACTGTAACCATTATTGGTGCTTTAAAAATATACTCTATTTTATCAGTTTCATACAGTTCTGGATTCTTATAATTTTACTTTTGGACATAGTTTTGGCGCAGCAGTTTGAGTACAATTATTGTATTTGAGGCATGATTCCAGGAAACACTGGTAGGGGAATGAAGAAGTTATTCAATAAAGGTTTCATTATCAAGAGAGTTACCATTGTGAGGAACTGGAGGATAATCCCATTGGGGAAACATGAGAGCCACCGCAGGACACATAACTGAGTTATCCCACTCAAAGAGTAAAGAGCTGGGGTATTTGCCCTCCAGTCTCCTGTTAGTCATTGTTTAAGGCCTTTCCTGAGGAAGTGTTAATTCCCTGGTATTTCTGGCCTTTCATAAATGTGTACAAAGAAGACTCTAGAGGCCAGAGAAATCTTTAGGAAAAGAAATGCTAGTACTGGCAGTTGAAAATATGGCCAGCCTGTTTTGAAGTGATGTAGATGAGGGGACAGAAGGATTTACAATGACTGCTACAGATGAGTTGTCTCTTGACTTTTCCAAGGATCCCACTTATGGTTGAATCATCAAATTGATTGTAAGCATCCACATATATACTCCATATGGCCCAAGGTTGTTTTAAGAGTCATAATCCTCTGGAGTATGTTCACCCAAAATGGCCTTTTATGTCTGGAGGAACTGCCTTCCTTTCTAACTATTGAGACTATTTTTTGATCACTATTTAAATTATTTCAGTAATCTTCCCTAGAGATAACTAGTAGCCATGGTAAGAAAAAGAGGGCTCAAGAATATCTTGTTAAGGTCATTATATGGAAATTAGATTCTTTTTTAAGTCTCAGTCTCTAATGTTTTTTTTCTACTTCTTCTTCTTCTCCATTTGAAGGAGTTTTTCTTATGAATCACAAATAAGATTATTTAACTACTTGCTCTTTTGGCTTGATAATATAAATACTACCTTTATAAATTTAGTTCTGTTGTGATTTGTAACTGCAGAGAAATGATGAGTAATTCTCATTTTCTAAAGATATATCATTAATAGAAATTACTATTTCCACAAACACTCTCCTCCCACCATCCCTGGAGAGATTTTTGAATTTCCATTTTCTACTCAGGGCTGAGTATATCCAACCTTTCATGGATAGTATGAATGTTTCTGTTCTTGACTCTCAGCATCTTTCAAGGGCCCTTGGCTTGTACTGGGGCAAAGATCACTCTAGTTGTCTTATCAGTATTTTCTCAGAGACTTGGGATCATGGGCAAGGAATGCCTTCATATTTTTGCAGAAAATCAACTAAATATTAGTGAAAAACTAAGTATGTAAGGAACTTAGGGAAGCTTTTACAAGAGCCCTTATTTTTACTTTCTTAAAAATATTTATTTAAGTCTTCCTTTAGAATTTATGGTTATTCTTTTTCAGTTCTACTGACATTTAAAAAAATATCTAATTCCAGAGACATATTCCTTTAATAAAAGATACTGCATATTTTCTGATTATGATAAACAGATAATAAGATGCCTAATAACAAAGGCAAAAACTTATTCACAGTTATATCTGGAATTGTGAATAGACTATGAAGGTGTGATTTGAACAGTCAAGTTGAAGCACCGTAAGTTGGATATGACTCATGTCAACTTTTCCTAAAATGCTTGAATTTAAAATGAATCACATTTGAAAATTCATATATCATGGTATTCCCTTTGGTGTCTAATAGCAGTAATAGAATATATCTTCGGAGAAAAAACTCTTTACAACTTACTAGTAAAAATAACTCTTGGTTGTGCCAAAAGCTACTGCTTATTTGTTCACAAGCGTTCCAAATTAAATTCCCGAGAAATACGTCAGGCTTTACTTAGAAGCACTTAATAATCCATGAGCTGAAAATACACATAATTTCAAACACAAATCAGATCGTGCTATCACAGTTTTTCCATGGTCAAAGGATGGAGAATGCTAAATGTCACAGGGCATGTAGAGGTATTCAGAATCAGCATTTATAATTAGTAGAGTGTATTTCCCCCCAATAGGTTTCATAGAACGGCCAATATTATCAAAGATGTTAATAGTCATTCTCAGAAAAATAAAGTTTCATAACCAAATATATTTGGGAAACTCAGAATGTACAATATTTCATTTTTAGGGAATATTGACACTAATACTATATTAAAGACTCTGAGATCCACTGGAGGAAAGAAATATATTGACCTTGTTTGTTTACCCCAGTGTTTTTCTCATTGTTTACATGGCATACAAGTTGAAAAAAGCTACCATAGCTATATGGTTAAAAATGGGAAACATTGTTTTTATTCCTCCACCAAGGTCTACTCAGATCTGCTGTTGTTCTCATTGTCATCATTATCTTAATTGTTATCACCATCACTGCAAAACATTATTGAATAATCTTGATTAAGCGCCATGCAGAGAGAATTACAGACATAATCCCTGTGCTACTCAAGTTTACAATTTAAGACTGTCAGTTTGAACTTATACACATATCATCCAAACAGCAACTAAAGCATTAAGCCAAGAAAAGTACAATTTCAGCCTAGATTGTAGGGTTTATATTTAGTTAGAGAAGAGACTAGAGAGGTGCCATTTTCAGACAGAAAGTCTCAGGATAAAGCCACTATCTATCTGTTAGCTATCTTTGGGGAAGATTTCTGGAGCTGTTTAAATAAGAGAGGCTGCTTGGACAGCTGGTTAGCAAGAGTGTCTCAGGCACAAAATGCTGCATTAGGAAAAGAAAGTGGTAACAGGAACAGAAATAGCAGCAAGGATTCCCAACCAAAATGGGGGATCTCTCATTCTGGACTTCTGGGAAAAGGAACTAAGATTGGGTTGAAAGGAAGTAAGCCAGGGAAAGAAAGGAAAGAAGGTCAAAAAGGCTTGGCCAGACTCATAACTGTTCCCAAAGCAGGCTCTATTCTTAATCATTTTCAGGGTTATCTGATAAATTATATTTTATATGTATAAACATTTAGTTTCCTTACCAGAAGGATACAACTTAATATGACTTCATTTTATCATTATTGTTTTTTTTTTTAATTTCGGCATATTATGGGGGTACAGATTTTAAGGTTTCAATAAATGCCCATTTCCCCCCCTCTCCCCACAAGTCTGAGTTTCCAGCATGACCATCCCCCAGATGGTGCACATCTCACTCATTATGTATGTATATACCCGCCCCCCTCCCCCCTCCCACCTGCCCAATACCTTATTACTGTAGTACCTATGTGACCACTTAGGTGCTGTTCAGTTAATACCAGTTTGCTGGTGAGTATATGTGGTGCTTGTTTTTCCATTCTTGGGAAACTTCACTTAATAGTATGGGTTCCAGCTCTAACCAGGAAAATATAAGATGTGCTATGTCACCATTGTTTCTTAGAGCTGAATAGTACTCCATGGTATACATATACCACATTTTATTAATCCATTCTTGGATTGATGGACACTTGGGCTGTTTCCACAGCCTTGCAATTATGAATTGTGCTGCTATAAACATTCGAGTGCAGGTGTCTTTTTTGTAGAGTGTCATTGGGTCTTCATTATTGTTTTGTTTTTTTTTCTGTATTTTTTTCCTTTTTTTATTTTTATTTTTTTCATTATTGTTTTTGAAAGTAAAAATGTTTGAGTTCTGTGGATGAATAGATGACAAAAGCATATCATCTTTATGATTATTCTTAGGGGTGCAAATTAATATTTTATTTCTTAATAATAGAATATATGTTTGGTCAACTTGCATTGTTTTATTTCCCAATTGACTGATGAACATGTAAAATAGTTATTTTAATATACTTAGGCATTAGATGTACAGGCTACTTTGAATGAGTGTTTATTTTTGAGTGGTTATCACTTTGTACTGAGTTCATAATTTGAGAAAGGCTCGTCAGCACTAAACTTCAGTACAAAGCAGCTTTCTCAAAATTTCCCCATCCTAATAAAAAGAATCATCTTTTTAGTTATTGCTATCTATTTATTTACATGCCTGAACCACAACTTTTGAAATTGAATGTGTGAACTAAAATATTTATAACTATGGAGAACTCCTTTGACTTCTGAATCTTACAGGTATCACTCCTATCCATGGGGGATCAAAAATCACCCAACCAAAAGATGAAAATGCTGCATATTGAATGGACTTGGTTTTCCCATGAAGTTCAAGTTCTGGACTTCAGCCAGTACTGCAAGATGCTCAGGGATTGGGTGCTGCTGAAAGGATGTGGAAGAGAAAAGACCAAGATGCCACAGGGCCTGCAGGACCTGTTTCTGGAGGTTCTGTGCGGAAGCATATGGCAGCTGCAGTGCTTGGGGTCTCCATTGCCAGGACCACATTACACACAGGACGGCAGGGCTGTCAATGTGCCCCTGGGAGAAAATGCTGCAAAATTCACCTGTGGGGGGGGGAAAAACCCACTCTTATAGAACTTTCCTCCAAGTTTAAAAGAAAAAAAACTTGTCATATTTTTCAAAGGAACGTTTTATACTCACAATTGCTGAAACTATGTTTAAAGGCATCTAGCCTTCCATGTACAAAAAAATAGTTTTAGATAAAGAAAATTATAGGATCCAGAATTATATATTGGGTGATTCACTGTATCCCCCAGTTTTTATCTTTAAAGAAATTTAAAATATGTGATTGGATTTTTTTTTGTTTGTTTTTAAATGAAAGGATTGGTTCTCTCTTAACCACTTGGCTGCTAGTGGTCTTGAACTGATACAGTGCAGACAGTATTTGTAACCTTGCACAGTCTCTGGGATTAATTGTCAAATTGTCAGATTTAAATTAGACTAATAGAATATATTGATGTACAGTGTGTGTTTGTGTGTGTATATATATATGTATGTATATGGGGGAAGGAGGGAGGTTTGATTAGACTAATGCTTTGCTGCTAACCAAACTCATAGTGTTTTTAGAGCACTGTGAAGAGTTCATAGAATCTATGAAAATGATGCAATATTCTTTATCCAAAGTCCCTCCTTACTAAAATTACCTACATTGTTTACAAAATTTTAATTGTTTGGGAATTTGCAATGAAAACGTTATTTAGTAAAATATAAATTCCTTCTTTACTCATTGAGACTGTTCAAAGAAAGGGAAATCAGAATGCCAAACAGTGTCCCATGCCTTTGTAGGGAGAATGTATGATGGAAGTTTGCTAGATTCTGATTGGGCTTAACTCCTCTCTTCAAGTGACTTCTTACGTATAACTCTGGTGTAATGTAAAGAAATGCCCTCATTGCCAAATCAGACTGCACTTCTAACTACTTAAAAAACAATTTATTCTATATAATTACTAATCTGGAAGCTGAAATTATGCTTTTTATATACATCTCACTGAGTTGTTATCTTTATTTACATTAATGCATTTTTAGCCTGATTGAATTTAGTTCAATATATGTACAGCGGCTGAAACATAAAATAACTTTATATGTAGTATGAGAATCTATACTATTTTTTAAATTAGTGTGTTTAATATTTAAGTGATATTGAAATTCTCTTTAATCATACACTAATGCTTTTGAAGATTGCCAATGAATCTTTCTTTGTCTTTAAGCCAAATTAATACACTGTAACTTAAAAATAATAGACGCGAGTACAGTAATGAAAAATTTCAATTCAGCATTCAAACCAATTCCTTTTATATGTAGAATTTATAAGCAAAATCAAAATGCTATGTATTGTTGATTTACCCAGACAAAATTTGTTTTCTGTTCCAACTTAATTTGAACCTGCAGAATCATTCTTTATATCTCTTAATGTACGGAAGGGGCACATTTCCTTCTCCTGCAAGAAGCACAGGCCTAGAGTGGTACCAATTATAAGTGTATAGAAGACCATACCTAGAAATAAACCAAGCTCTATGGTCAGAGTTTGAACTATCAAGTTCTTTCTCAAATGGTAACATATAGTAAACAAAGTTTAGAAAAAAGTAGTATTCAGAAGTCACACCTTGGTAAGAAAAGAGAAATAGTTTATTTGAAAGTGTTTTTAAGTGCTTACAGTTGACCTTATTTGACCAGAAAAGGAACAAAATGTTTCTATCTAACTCTTTTAGGCCATGGAAATGACATTTATTATGCCAGGTGCCAGTAAAAGTTAACAAAAATAAGCAAATGTTTGTCTTTTCAATAGAAACTTCAGGCCCATCAAGTCTATGCTGATAGATGTATTGTTTTGCTAAAATAATGGCTGTGCTCTATTTGAATTCTTCCTTAAACTACCACTATCACTGAATCTACATCTTCCTGTGCATGACTACCATCTCTCTAAGAGAAATTTAGGCACTGGCAGGGGCACCATTTTGTATATGGAATCATGTCCCAAGAGTGAAGTTAACTTTTCAAAAGCCCTCACTTTATGACTTTCAAACAAAGACCTCCTCTCCTCATAATAAAACAAGAATAACCATTTTGTTTTGATTCCATAAACTGTCTTCCAGTGCAAAGAACTTGTTACTTGAACTTAATAGGCCTCCTAACCTTTTCTTGATAGATTAACATTTTTTTTCTTTCTCTTGTATAATTTTTAATATTTGTTATATGATGAAATCCCTGTGAATTCATTGAATTCATCTAATTCCCAGTGACTGAATATTTGTATGGAGGAGAATATAAATCAGTCTTTTCAGATCATTTTTGAAACACAAATGCTTCAGTTAATTATGTTTTGATCCACCAGCTCTACCTGAATATCTGTTACTTGAAACCTTAATTTGCTTTTGAAAAGCAAAATGTTCCATTCTCAGGGACATGGCTGCAGCAGGAATAGTTGCTTGTTGTTAACTTTGTCTTCTTCCAGATATGTAACCTCTAAATGGAGACCTTCAGGGAATAGTAACGTGCACACTTGGACCCACTGCTTGTGGATGAATTTCAGAAACCTAGAGAAATGCTGCTTAAGTTTAATAGAAACATTTGAGTAGCATTAGGCAGTGTGCACAGAGTTTGTTTTGGCATTCTGAAGCAGAATGTAATTAAGAAACACAGTTATGAAATTTACTCAGATGATATAATTGATTAGGAGTTCAGGTCTTCCTATAGGTATCACGTATGATTCATTAATACTATGAATTTCGATGTTCAAAACCAAATATAGGACTAGTTGATTATGTGTAATTCCAGCAATGAATCACCACTCTTATTTAAGATGTGCAACGCTACAATATTGGTTAGTCAATTCTATCAGTATTAAAAGGCATAGAACTCACATTCCTCTTTTTGATTTGCTGAATTGCAAAATATATTTATTGCTATTTCTCTATCTCTCTCTCTCTTTTTTTTTTTTTTTTTTTTGAGTGGAGAGGAACCCTGCACAGTAAATATTCTGGGTTCCTTTAGAAATGTCTTCAGCTTTTCTCTGAAGGCAGGAAAAACTTCTTTTTAAGGGACTTTTATTGTTTGAGTTTACTGTTTAATGGTGGTATTCATGAGTGCTGAAATGAATTGGAGAGGCACAAAGGAATCTGGCTGAAACAGCTTTTCAGCACCCTGGAGTTACAGCTCTGAAGGATTGCTAAGCAAGGGAAGCTTAATATTTCTGTATATTGATGTTGACTCCTTGGGTGAAATTCTGTCCAAACATGAAATTCTTCATGTTCAACAACTAAATATGATAATAAGTGTATTTTATGTATATATACACTATTTGACATCTTTCAGATTATAGTAATTATTCTTTGGTGGAAATTGGCATAGTTTTGGATAGATTATTTTTTCCATTGAAATGAGCTGGTAACAGTATCCTTGAACGCTGTTTTTTCATATTGATAGGAAGACACAATGTCTCAGGGAAACAACTTTGTGATAAAGGAATCCTTATGTGTGTCATTACAGTAAATTGCATATTATAAATATGACTGTTATGGTTGATTATAGTCCTGCTGTGATGTTGCTTTGAGATTTGCAAGAGGGACAGGAAAGTTTTTGTGATTTTAATGGGGTGAGTGATGAATAGTGCCAATTTACGTGTATTCTCTGTGTCTGTGGGAAAAGTTGTTTTTAAAAATGAAGATCAGTTGTCCATGCAAAGCTGGAGGCAAAAAGAGAAAAGAAAAAGAAAGAAAGAAAAAAATGAAGATCACATATACCTTAAAATCACAGCTGCATTCTTGGTATGTGACGTATGCTACATTTTTTACTACATATATGCAGCAATTAATAATATAAAAAATTTAAAAATACAGTTCATTGCTTTATCCTAAAAGTAAATGAACTCTATTCTTAAGTGAAAGTGGAAAGTTTTTTCTCTAAATGTGAGAAGCTGCCTTTTTGTACTGTGAAGTTTTGCACTGTACTCAGCTACTGTATTTAGAGATAACAGAAGTGTGTTATGGTGAATATGTGACTACTCACATGCTGTCATTTGAAAGTAGCTCAGCTTTGTTTCTCCTGAACAAGGATGGAAGTTTTGTCTTTACGGAAAATTATCTCTGTCATTTTGACTATCAATAAGTCCAGTTGAATGCTTGGAATTGATATGATGAACTCACACATGAAAAATTAGCTGAAGTTTTTGCAAACATGTGATGAACTGGTCCCATAAAACAAGTGGAGGGGTTTGTGCCAGAAATAACAAGCCAAGAAGAACAAATGCTTTAGGGCCTTAGCACCTTAAATCAGACTATGAAGGTCACACAAAATTACATTCTTAAACCATGATTTAGCTTTGCCATTTGAGTCAGGATTCTGAAAACGAATATAAGGCTGTGAATGGCTATTAAATTTTAGCTAAAACCTTTGCCTTCCATGTTCTCTGTGTTTACCTCATGTTTCAGTGAATCTTGAAGGAAATGGAGCTGGTTTAGGGATACCTCATGCCACCAAGGAACACGTGAAGTATTTGTGTAAACCTGACATTACTTTGAGAGTGGTGAATAAACAAACATAAGTACTCAGAAGGAAAATCCCAACTTGTTAGAGATGAAAGGTAGATCTTTCAAGGAGGTGAGACAATCCCCAATTAAAAACTGTGGTTTGAGAAGCTGGAGGGCAAGAGGAAGGCAAGTGATTGCCCAGGTCTTGGGTCGCCCAGCAGGCCCTTCACTGGGTGGTGAGTGATTGGCAAGAGGTGGCTCCAGAAACTTGAGCGATCCCTGCTACTGAGTCTCCTGGAAGCAGCTAACCAGATCCTTCCCCAGCAGACATCGTTGGGCTTTTCGCTGGGCCCTGCCACCAGCAAGTTGAACACCCAGAATGGTAGCAGAAGACCCCAAAGGCTCTACAGTAACCTATTGGTGGAATCGACAGGACAGGATGCCTAGGAGGCATTCCAAAGACATTAGACTCCTCAAAAAAAAGTAGTTTCATCTGCCATTAAGTGAGCGTGGTTCTGCCCCTTGGAGCCATGTTTTCTTTTCCATCTTCATCCATGACCTCAGGCCCATTTCATCTGACAATGTAAATTTTACAAGAAATATATGTGGAACTTAAATGAGAATAAGTGCAAATTTGAATATCTTTGTATCAGCTAGATTAGAAAAGAAACATTGCAAGGTATTTTAGTTGTTTGCTTGTAAACCGGTTGATAATCAGGCTGTGGAAATATTCCATCATTATAGTCTTCCTAACTGGGAAACAAAAATCACTTAAAAGAAAATCTTTTGAGTGCATTTTGCTTACTGACATTTAGGTGATCAAAACTGAATTATGATGCTTCTTGTGTTCCATTGTTCCAAGTGGTAAGGTTGTGAAAAATCTAAAAGAACAGAGCTGTCTTCAGAAGGAAGAGAAGTCCCTAATCTCATGTTGCCCAGAGCCTCTATTTTCTGGACAGCCTAGGATCCAAGACAAGGGTCTATGCCTGCAGAATGTAAAAATATCCTCAATATGCTTTTTTCCAGGTAATTTCTAACACATAGTATCTTTTTTGGTTCCAGTATCTCCCACCCAGCTGCAAAGTCCCCCATACCCTATTCCTAACCGAGGAACAAACTGTTACAAGGTTTTCTGCACAGAGATGTGTGTTATTAGAAGGAATGTTTCACAATTTGGTTCTGTAATGGTGTGTGATATGGAAGCCAGAGGGAAGTACTTCTCTACACATGATTTCTGTCCTTGTAAAACCTCCAAAACACTTCCTGCATGAGCACACCTAGACTATAAAATGTGGGAGGCCCTGGAGAGAAGAAAAAAGAAATGTCCCTTTAGGAGATTTGTATAAAAGATGCAAGCAGCTTTTCATTTTTGCTCTGTAAAATGCTAAAGAAAATTTTTAAAAATATTTTCAATGTTATGAGAAAATAATTTCTCTTTTGTCAAGAATTTACAGCAAATGGTCATCTCTCTCACCAGCTGCCTCAATTTCTCCTCTTATGCTTTTAAGTTTTTTGATTAAAA